TGATATATTATTATATAAATTATATGTATTATATATATTATTATATAAATTATATATTAATATATAAATTTTAATCAAATTTATATATTTATCATAATTTATCATAATTTTTTAATCAAAATTTTGATTGATAACTTGGCTTTGTCTCAGTTAAAATAAAGTTATGAAATATCTAACGAACGATCGTACAATCGCACGATCGTTAACGAGCGTGAAATGTTTACGCTCATCTGCTGGAGAATAATTACCCGGCAAAAGAAGGAGTTTATCTCCTTATCAACGCAAGAAAAATCTTGCGCTTATTCGCTGGCGACAATAAATAGCCGATGAAAGGAGTATGTATCTCCTTTTTCGATCTCTGATTAGAGATTGATCCAGAAAGTGGCCAGGAGCAACAAAAGGTAGGTCCAACTGGCCCGAAGAATGGATGTAGGCTACGCAAAATAGGCGGCCAATACTGGCCAAAATGCGTAGCGTAGAGGTACGTAAGGTACGATTAGGGTACGCGATTAGGGCACGCGAGTAGGGCGCGCGGTTAGGACACACGGTTAGGGAACCCGTTTAGGGAACGCGGTTAGGAATACGTTCTCCAAATCTCTGTTGGTTCAGCCAGCAAGTAGAATTGTTAAGGCTATAGGGACCATTAGGGCATTAAGCTAGGATAAAAAGCTAGGAATAAGATTATAATATATAATAATAATATCTCCCCAATTTAAATTCATTTTCAGCAAAACTAAAAAAAAAAGTAACCACATTTTCATATAAATTGTTATGTCCATTTATTTTTCAATAAAAAAATATATTTCTTAATAATAGAAGAACATGTTTTTCGCGCAATTTTCAATCTCGTGAATTGAAGATAATGACAATGGTAACTGTCGTTGATTTGTTACCGAAATCATTGCTATCGGGAGCAGTCCGGAAGATCCGGAATTCGTTCCCTTCTGCAGCGGCTCTGACGTTCAACGGATCACTTAATTTTTCTTTGCGAATCGATCATGCAGGAACTAATGTAGAAACAAGACGTTGGTCGTTCTCCACCCTTAGGATCGTTTCTTCGTTTTGTCGGATATTAACCGGCGTGTCACTCGGTGGAGGGAAGGCTTTGTTAAAATCATTGGGTCTGTTATTCTTTATAAAACGTGCCAATAACGCGATTTTTTATTACAATATTTTAGAACTTATAAGACCCATTTTATTTTGTTACAACAGTCATCCGTGAGATAGAATATATATCTTATTGTTGATCGCGACATTCGTATAAAATCGCGTATTGGAAAATAAATCGGACGGTGGATACTATATAACAAATTCGAATGTTTGTCGAAATATCTTTGCATAAAATGATAGTGATTATATCGCGTACATGTGAGTTTCGATTATTATAGAAATTACGCGTATCGCAATCAAATATTATAAATATCGTCGGTTTATTTATTTGTCGCGTTTGCTCGCGAATTTTAAATCGCGATTTGTTTTATAATTTAATCGTTAATGTACATCAAAGCTTTAACTATTTTCTTGCGTCTTGAATTTTTTCTTTGAAAATCTGCACAATAGCTTTAGTCGTTTTTGAAATTAATATCGTATAAATACATATCTAAATCTCCTGAGAAAAGTATTATTTTCGCATTTCCAGCCTTTTAATTAAAATTCTGAGTAAATTTCACAAGATAGAAAAAACACTCTTTACATTTGATACGTTAAAAAAACAATATTGCATGAGATATCGCGATTTTTTGATATTTTATGACATTTTGCGAAAATCTGACAGCTGATAGAATCACCGACGATCATATAAACGTGAAAAAATTAATTAACGCTATCAAAAATTGAAACTACTTAAAAAAACAATAGCACACGGTTAAAATTATAGGAAAATATAATTAATTATGCTTATATAAATTTGCCTATAATAGCTTTTTAATGTGCATCGGTGCGCAAGTGCATTCTACTGAATCCATAAATTAAACAATTAATTGAATAATATGTGTGTCCTGAATATAATGATAAAAAAAAATTAATAATAAAAAGCTATATAAATTAAAAGCATGATTTGATAATGCTTAAAATGCTTAATACTTTTGTTTCAAGATTAAGAAAAAAGTGAAAGCAATTTATTGTAAATATCTTCTACATGTTATATCTAAAAATTAGGAAAAAGATTATTAAGAAAATTTATTTGAAAAAATTTATTTCATTTTACATGCGCATATATATACAGAAATACTTCAATAATAATTTATTATCGCTGTCTGTAGTATATATTAGAATGACAAAACATCACGCGCAGCTAATAAATATTAATAAATCCATTATATTTTATTGCAATTTTGATCCAAGATTATGGATTTAGCACGGACACGCACTAATCGGTCGTTTTACCGTGGCATCGAAAAGTGAACCTGGCCATGTAGTTCGCCAGCTCTAAAATGGATTCAGCTGGCGCTACTGCATTAGCTAGAAAAAGCGTTTTACGAAAAACGGCCCCTCTCAGGCTTCTTTTTGATAATAGACTTAATAGATATTTAATCAGAAATTTCAGTCTCCAATTGAAATGCGTGATCAATAATATGCCGTTGTAATTAACTGATTATTGGAAAATTGGGTGGATAGATTATAGTGGATGCTTGTATCTGAAATATAAACATGTATTCATTTAAAATTCTTTCAAAATTTATTTTGTAAGCTTGATACTAGATGGCAGCAGATTGATATTCAAACAGCATGAAATGAATAAGAGAGCGGTTTTGGCGCGCGTTCAGGACACACATATTACTTGCTTGGTGTAAAATTTCGAGCAACCGTGAAGTTCCCGACTATTTTTACGGCCCAGTGGTTGTGGAGACAGGTGCTATATCTTTCGTTACTTTTGTGTAAAAATGTCACAGCTCTCGAATCGGGTTAAAGAAAAATTTTTCATTGGATGAATAATTGGGAGGATGCAAAGGAGAGCACTTCCGGGAAAGGGGAAAAAATCATAAAAGGTACAGTGTCTTTATTTACAATATATGTAATATTTTATGAAATATATAAATTACACACATACATTTTGAACAAACATGTTATTAAATATTAATTCTGCTAATCAAAATTTATAAAATTTGATGCAATGTTTTTTTTATAAATAAATAGTGCACACATATATTATACAGAAAAATATAATATATATAAAGAGTAAGTAAAGAAAGAAATATATAATTGCAGGAAAGAAATATATAATTGCATATATCTTATAAAATATTTGCCACAACTGATAGATTGAAGATATTTGAAATTTGAATATCTTTTTTTTTTATTTTATTTCGTGTAATTCTTATTAAATGACGCTATATATATATATACATATATATATTGCACTTATATGATAAGTTATTGTTTTGATGATCTTATCGTGTTTATATGATAAAAATATCTCGCTCCTTCATTTGTTCCTTGAGCATATTATTTTACAATTTTCCACAAGACTATCTTTTTATATTTATATTTGCTATTTAATAAAATATAATAATCGCGAACAAATAT